ATTGGCCAGCTAGCTTGTTTATTTAACCAATCGTAATGACATAGCGTCACACAGTGTGCAGAGGGATTATTCCACAGCACAATCCCATGTTTTGAAGAAACTGAGGTCACAAGACTCTTGTCTTGTTTTCTTGGAGTTTTCTCACAAGCACTCAGAATTCTCCTCACACAGCTCCATTCCTGGACTGTGTTCCAACAGCTGTCTACAAACATTTATGGCTTGAATGGGGTCAGTTGTGCTAAGGTCTGGGAACCTCAGGTCTGGGACAACAAGGTATTGTCCCCCAGGTGCTTTCTCCCTGTAGCCCTAGAAATCAAGCCCAGGGCCTCACACTTGTTAAGATCATATTCTTCCACTCAGGTCAATCCCAAGCCATATAACTTTTGTATTGTTTTTTTAAATCTGGCCAGGCAGTGGTGGCTGAAAGGTTTTTGCACCCCATCAGCCTCTCCGCTGATGCAAAAGTCCAAATCAAATCAAATCAGATTGAATTAGAAAAAGCCCCGGTTTAATGGGAAAAGCATTCCCAGGTGATTCTCCAGCCCCCAGAGAGAAGACAAGGACTAGAGACCAAAAAACCACCTGTCTGTTTTCTGGGATGCAGTTTAAATACCCTGTGGGAGTGGTCTTGAGCATCTCTAGGGGAGGAGCCGTGTTTGGTGGGCTTTGAAGAGTCAGATTTGGGGAAAGAGATAGGGGAGGGGAGTTGAGGTGGATCTTCCACCAGAGCATTCCAGACTCTTTGGGTATGCCAGGGTGCCAGGGGCTGAGATGGAAGCTCCTACGCCTTTAATCCCAGAACTCTGAAGGCAGAGGCAGGCAGATCTCTGTGAGTTCAAAGCCAGCCTGGTCTACAGAATGAATTCCAGGGCAGCTAAGGCTACAGAGAAACCCTGTCTTGAAAAACAAACAACAACAACAACAAAAAAAACCACATGTATATACATCCACATATAACATCATTATCACTGATTCATCATGGCTTCCTGGGGCAATTATTTTTTCTTTTTTTTTTTCTTTTTTCCCCCCCTCTTTTCTTGTTTTGTTTGTTTGATTGATTGATTTTTCAAGACAGGGTTTCACTGTGTGGCCTGGCTGTTTTGGAACTCACTCTGTAGACCAGGCTGGCCTTGAACTCACAGAGATCCGCCTAACCTCTGCCTCCTGAGTGCTGGGATTAAAGGCGTGGGCCACCACTGCCTGGCAACTTTTTCACTTATGTTTATTTTGTGAATATGGGCATTTTGCACGCATGTATGTCTATGCACCACAAGCAGGACTGATGCTTGCAGAAGCCTTAGAATTCCCTGGGACTGTAATTATAGACGGGTGTGAGCCACCATGTGCTTCTGGGAATTGAACCCAGGTTTTCTGCAAGATCATCAAGTGTTCTTAACCACTCAGTCATCTCTCCAACCCCATCCTGGGGCTACTTTGTCTGGCTTTGTTTGGGAACTATTTAAAGGTTGTCAACACAATGGCTTCATATTCCATTGTGTTGTTTATTATTTATATGTTTATTGTTTGTTTATATGTTCTCTTCTGTTGATCTCTTTCAAAATTTATAGCATGTAACATGTGATTCTTCAGTTTTAAATATTATTAATATTAATATCAGGCAGATGTGAAGTAGACTCTCATCGTAGTGTTGATTTGAATGTCCCCAGGGTTCATAATGTTGAACATAAAGTTCTAAAACTTACAATTGGGTGACATTTAGCCAGTTGTGTGTCACTTAATAATGAGCACATGCTCTGAGAATAGCATTGTTAAGCAATTTTATCATCGTGTGTGAAGGCCTAGACTTAACTTTACAGGTTCAGGAATATGCCATGATAACTCGAATTGATACAGAGCAGTATCCTCCTGCAGACATCCTGTCTGCTGTTTATACATGAAAGGAAAGCTTAACAAGATCCTGTCTGTGGTTTATGGCCCTTGGAGATATCTAGATAATCCTGCTGAGCAGTCCAGATAATCCTGTTCAGTGGGTTGTGGTTTCCAGTCCAAAGTCTAGACCAATAGTTTCAAAAAATCACCTTGCCCCTTCTACCCAATCTCAAGTTGCCAATTCCCGGGTAGCGGTTTTTCCCTATAAAAATCCTCTACACCTGGGCTCATGGCCGTCACCACATTTCCTTCCATCTGACCATTAGGCGGCCCAGGTTGAACCTGAATCAAAGGACCCTTATGTGCTTGCATCAGAAACCGGCTCCTTGGTGGTCTCTGGGGGTTTCGAGAAATGGGTACAACACGTGCAAATCTCAGAGTATGCTTACACAGGCTTCAATGGCACAGGAAGACCACTGCTCATGGTCTCCGTAAACAGATGTAGGGGCTTCTGTCACTATGAAGCTGCATATTGGAGTCTTTGTTATTTTTTCTGGGGTTTATTTTGGGTATTTTTGTTGTTATTGCTTTGAGACTGGGTCCCGTAGGCCAGTTTGATCTGGAACTGCCTGAGAAATTGAGATCTTGCCTCTGCCTCCTAAGGGCTGAGATTGTAAGTGGCCCGGTGATTGTTGGCACAAGCTTTTAATCCCCGTACTTTAGAGAGGTGGGTGGATGGAAATCTGAGTTGAGGCCATCCTGGTCTACAGAGTAAGTTCCAGGACAACCAGAGCTCCACAGAGAAACCCTGTCCCAACCCCCACCCCATGTCTTCCTTGATTGATCTCTGTCTCTCATATTGAGACAGGGTCTCTCACTGGAACCTAGAGCTCACCAATCTAGCTGGACACCTTGTTTTTGTTTTTGTTTTCCAGTTTTTAGAGACAGGGTTTCTCTGTGTAGTTTTGGCGTCTGTCTTGGATCTTACTCTGTAGACCAGGCTGGCCCCAAACTCACAGAGATCCACCTGGCTCTGCCTCCCAAGTGCTGGGATTATAGTATATACTCACCTGGCATTTGTGTAGGTTTTGGGGATCCAAATTCCACTCCTCACACATGCTTAGTTTCTTTACCCACGGACTCATCTCTTTTCTATACTATTAGAGGGACCAGCCTTAATATTACACATCCCCGGGGCTCAGGAGAGAGAACTACTAACGGTGAGGACTATTTTTGGGAAATAAAATCTCAGCACACCGAGCTCTATAGTCCACTTGCTTTAATTCCTCTGGCATAACATCCTATATACACAGCTTCAGTTCTGTTCTCGTGCCTAGCTCCTTTCTTGTCTGATTTCTCTATATATTTATCTACTGCTCCCTCTAAGTTCTATCTTAATTCTCTTGTCTTAATTCTGCCTCATCTAGGTCCTTTTCAGCTTGTTCTTACCCAGCTAGGACTTCCCCATCTTACTCTTCCTCATCTTCCATCTCATTCCTTTAGTCCTCTCTTCTAGCCCTTCAATCTAGTTCTTTCCCCGACTCAGTTTGTTCCTATCAATTTCTTACCCATCTAGTTCTTCCATTCTCCTTTTTCTTCTCCGTCCTCTTATGCCCCGTAAGTCCCAGTAAACATACACTTAAAAGCAGTAATCCCTTGGCAGTGCAAAGCCAGGCTTCCAGGGTCAAACGGAGGGGTGCTAAGAATCACATAGAGAGGCAGTAATTGTTAATTATCATTTGCAACCCCAAAGGGAAGTGACTAATGGGGAAATGAATTAACTAAAGGCTAAATTCAGGTAATATCTAAGAAGAGGGATCTTATATGCTCCACTATAGTCTTAAACGTGATTGGTAGAAAATGTTAAGACTCTATAAGTTGCTAGGTCAATGGGAGAAAATAAAACTGCCTTCTTTTTTCCTGTGGCTCCTATCTGTCCAAGCTATCTGCCATTTTTCTGCAGGGTGGGGGAAAGTGTGCTCCATCGCTGGGCAACCTGTGTACAGCTAAATGCCTCTGGTGATAGATAGAGGGAGATCTGGAACTAGAGGTTAAGAGTTGGGAAAGGGGGAAGTTAATTGGCACATCTACCAGGCCTTCTCAAACAGGTAGCCTGAATGCTTAAGTCTGTTCTTAGAGACTACTGAGGTATCTCTGATAAGGTGCTTTCCTCTATCTGGGGATGGACCTGGCCGGATGCTGCCAATGACGATAATTACAGGGAGGCTTGAACTGGGGTTCTGGCTGAGCATAGCTGTCAGCGCACAAGGTTATCTAAATATTCCTAGAAGTGGTTAGGTAAGGAGTTAGAGGTCTATAAAGTTAGTAAGGCTGTAAGAAAGGAGGGTCCAAGCTAAATTGAGTAAAGCTATTACTAAACATCCACCTGACCTAGGCAGTGTCTCCTTATGGAATTTACCTTAAGTCAGGAGACTTATATGTGGACTGTTATTACTGTTAGTCCTTGAAAGTGGCTAAGGGAGATATCTGATTCCAGAGGAAGCCTTTCCTAAGGCTGTTCTCCAAATACCTTGAATGTGTATGTCCAGTGAGTGAGTGATCAGTCCACACTGTTAGCCCTTCTTAGGGAAAAGTCAATTGGGAAAACTATGACGGCACACATGATTTTCATAACAGAATACAGCTGATATATAACAAGCCAAATAATACTAAAAGCTCCTTGGAATTTGGCTTCCTCTGGAGGAATTCCTTGATCTATCCAGATAGTGACTTTGCCATAACCAGCTGAGTTCTAATGATATATTCCTGTGGCCTGTATCACAGGTCCAATAAACATTTTTAATAAGGAGTCCATTCTAAAATAATGGACTCCACAAGAACCAGTGGAGAACTAAGCATTAAATAAATAAATAAATAAATAAATAAATAAATAAATAAATAAATAAATAAATAAATAATAGACTAGGAGTGGGGACTAGAATCAGGGAAGATTAAGGAACTCGCAGCATTTCAGCACTCCCATCTGTGCACGTATCGCTAGTTCAACGTTAAAAAGGGCAAATATACACGCACGCCTTAATACCACCGGCACGTGGAGGACAAACAGACCAGACTCCCAGGAGCCAGCCTCCAAAAGCCCGCCAATCTCCCGCGCCAAGATAGGCGGACACAAAGCCTCCCGGGGCGGGGGGCGGGGCCACGACGTCACAGGAGCCCGCCCCCTGACGTCGGGCGCCGGGGACGCCAGGAGGTTTGTGGCGGTGCCGGCGCCATTTTGCCTGAGCGTGCGAGCTAGTGGGAGTGGAGCGCAGCGGCCGCTGTCGCCGTCGCCTTCCGCCTCCCCACACTCCAGACAGCGGGGTGACTAGGCCGCCGGCCCTCGAGCCGAGACTTGTGTCTTATTTAGTTCTCGGGAACTCCTGGCCAACATGAGTGATGTAGAGGAGAACAACTTCGAGGGCAGAGTGAGTACAAAGCCGCGGGAGCCGTCTTCGGCGGCGGCCCGATGCTCCGGGGCTCGGGGACGAGCGCGGTCGGTCGGGCGAGGTTACGGGGCCCGCGGGAGCAGCCTCGAGGGCCGCCGCGAGCGCGTCCTCCCGTCCCACGGTGGCTGCGGGGTCCCCCTGCCTGTCCAGATGGCCCGCTAGCCCGCAGCGCTCGATTCTGGCGACTGACCGGTACCTGGCCTGGTCCTATCCTCTCCTGTCGCTCCCTTTCCCCTCAGCTTCCCATCTCTGCTCCGAGGTGCGGGTCCCCGGCGCGGTGGGGCAGGAGGCGGCGGGGCGCTCCCTCCGGCCGGATAGTGGTAGGTGCTTCGTGCGGTGGCATCTCTGGGCCACCCCGGGCCAGCGCAGCCCAGCCCCGGCCATCGCAGCGGGGGCTCGGGGTCGGAAGTGCGCGGGGCTGTTGGTCCGGGCGGGGAAACGCTGTCGCGGGACTAGCTGGGGCCTGTGTCTGCTTGGCTCTCTGTTGCAGTGAGCGGCCGCGTCTCCCGTCGGAACCGGCGGCGGCGGCGGCGGCGGCGGCGTTGCGTCTGTAAGGCGAAAGCCTTGAGGTTGGAGGTGGGACGAGCCCAGTGAAGTGGTCAGTCAGCGACCGCCGCGACCCTTAAGAGTTCTTAAGACGAGAGCTGGGAAGGGAAAACTACGCAAGAGCCTTTTCCCTTAATGTCCTCTCTCCTTTCCCTTGGACGTGAATGTGGAAATGCAGTCACGCCTGCCTGTCCTTCCAACTGCTCGAGGTTGGGTCCTTCGTGGCTCAGCTTCTCATGCTTTTCTTTCCTATCCGTGACCTTCCATCTGAGAACTCCTTCGCAGGTTCTTATGGTTAAACTGTCGAGGCAACTTAATTTCACCTTACGTAACTGAGCGAATTTCATGGCTCAGTTTTTAAGGGGAAAAAAATAGCTAGTCAGTGTTAACTCAAAAGATTACCTGAGATTTACAGACCCTCCCCCAGGAAAGGGTTCGAGGTTTTCTTTATTTGAGGTCCTGTGCGTGTAAACAGCATAAAGAATACGTTATTCTTAGCTTGAATATATTACAACGTTTATTACCGGTTTTTGAGCTTTATTCCCGAAGTTAGCTTAGTAGTGGAAATTGATGGAAGTGAGTCCTGGTGAAGCTCTGTAAGGGGGGGAAAAAGGAAACAAAAGTCCCAGGCTACGGCTGTTGTGTTGGTATTTATTCTGATGGCGAGAGGGCGGATGAGGGGAAGAAAACAACACTTGAGGGGTTTGTTGGAAGGAAGAATTTGTCCCTTTTAGAAGCTCAAGATACAGACACCTGTAATCTGTCAGTCAAGTCAGAGGGTCAGTTAGGTTTTTGGAGTTTTTTGTTTCTTTTTTTAGAAAAGAGGGCTTTTTTTTGTTTTGTTTGTTTGAGGGGGTGGTGTATGCACTAGGACTAGATCCAAACTATGTTTATCTTTGATTGAATCATTTGAATGATTTGCAGACTGAATATAGTTGAACATGCTTACAGTTTTAGGATTGTTTTGTTTTGTTGTCCTAACAAAACTTTTAAGATCATGAAATAAAAATATTTGGAGGTAGTTGTGTTACCTGTGAAAATATTTACTTAGGGAAAGACGTTTTTTTCTGTCAGTTTGTCGGTTCCTTTTTCTTTTTTTTTTTTTTTTTTTTTTTTTTTTTTTTGGTTTTTCGAGACAGGGTTTCTCTGTGTAGCTTTGCGCCTTTCCTGGAACTCGCTTTGGAGACCAGGCTGGCCTCGAACTCACAGAGATCCGCCTCCCTCTGCCTCCCAAGTGCTGGGATTAAAGGCATGCGCCACCACCGCCCGGCGGTTCCTTTTTCTTTATTCCTTCCTACCTTCCTTCCTTTCTTTCTCCCCCCCCCCCCCCCCCATAAATACTGGGTTTGGTTTGTGGGGTTTGCACCAGTGTGACTTCAATGGCTCTGGTTCCTTTCTGATTTGTCATCTAGTGGAAGGAGGAGTAGATAATTACCGCCTTACCCACCCAAAATACTTAATATTCCCGAATCCACTTCTCAGTTAAAATTTATTTAGGCCTTAACAACCCAGTTAACAAAAAAGGTTTTTTTAGCTCCCCTCTTCTGCCATTTGTAGAGACAGCATTTTGTGTGTCCTGGTTCTGAGTTTGCTGGGAGTGGGCCCAGGGCTTGTGCATGCCAGGCAAGTGCTCTCCATTCCTTCTTCTTAGAACAATTGGGTATTTTAAATACAGTGGGTTTGTTTGTTTGTTTTCTGTTGACCATAAATCAGCAGTTAGGAAATTTCATGTAACAGCAGCTGTGCCCCATTCTCATTATCTCTAAAGATGTCTGAGGGTAACAGTTCTAAAAGATTTTCAGATAATGTATTTGTTGAAGTTACTCACTTTCAACTTGTCTCGATACAGTAAATTAGGGGAAGCTTTCATGGGTCAGTAGTCAAATGTTGGGCTTATCAGTTTTTTAACCATTATTAATCTAGTTTTTTGATTGTTTTCCTTTTTGTAAGAATTTATTTAGAAGATAGTATCTGATACTTAAAGTGAATGATTGCACTTTATCTTCAGGGTGTAATAGGAAACATGTTAATTCCATCTCAGTAAAAGTATTTAAAATTAGGTGGAAACTTTCTAGAGTCTACCAAAAACTAAAGATAAAATATTTACATAGAAATATATCTATAACATTTTTAGAATTCAGACCCCAAAGTTCTTTTTGGATGCATTTTTTTATTTATTGCTGTGATAATTTAGCAAGGGCTAGAGGACTGTCTGCATTTTAAAAATAAAGAACCACCCAAGCCATGCTGGTGCACACCTTTGATCCCAGTACTCAGGAGGCAGAGGTAGGTGAATCTCTGAATGTGAGCTAGCCTAGTCTACTGAGTGAGTTCCAGGACAGCTGGGGGTACACAGAGAAAAATGAAGAGAAAGAAAGAGAACCAAGACCCAAACACCACATAAGCCCCAGTTTACTACTCGTTGTATATTCATGATCTCTCCTCCCACCCCCTTTAATTCTATTGTATGTATATGGTGTTTTGCCTGCGTGTATATCTTGCATACCAAATAGGTGCAGTGCCTGCGGAAGCCAAATGAGGAAGTTACATCCTCCGAGACTAGAGTTACAGATGATTGCAGGTTACCATGTGGGTGCTGGGAATTGAACCTGGGTCCTCTAGAATTCAGCCAGTGCTCTTAACTGCTACAACATCTTTGCAGCCCATACTTCCGTGTTTTTAAACAAGGACTTGCATCCCTAGTTTCAGATAATTGACAGTTCAAATCTGGATTTAAAACACTGTCATCAAGTATATGAGGGTAAGTGCTGAAATAGTGTCAGATAAGTTTGATTAAATGTGTAGTCAGATAATGAAAGGGTTTTGAATTCTAGAGTTTGGTGGCAGGGAGAACCATAAAAGGAGACCTAAGACCAAAAGGACTGGTACAGGAGCAACAGATTCGACTGATTATTTAAGGAAGAGGGAGAATGATTGTGCCATTAGAACAAAATAGGTCCAGTGCTGGGCACATTGTGTGGCACACCATTAATTCCCAGCACTTGAAAGGCAGAGGCAGACAGATACCTCTGAATTCCAAATCAGTCAAGGTACACAGTAAGGCCCTGCCTTTAAAAAAAAAAAAAAGGCAAGTAGGTCCATAAACAATTTACTTGGTGGGTGTCTATATCAATTTAACAAGCAGTGAAAAATGTCTGGGGGGAGGGGAAGTGACAGGGTACTGAAGCTCATGCCTACCTTAATTCAAGATCCTCTTGCCTCAGCTTCTGGATCCTGGAACTTCTAGCTAGGGGCCACCGCACCCAATTTCACCCAGCATTCCTTTGAAGCTGGGAATGAGGGAAAGTGGCTCAGTCTGTCTGTCTGACCTCAGACTCACAGAGTGCTGTAATCTGTTTGTCACCTTAATAAAAATGATGGATTGTTTGCTTTATAAAACAACGCAAAGTTAGAATTTTGATCTTAATTAATATCCTTTGTAGAAATTGAGAAGGATGGACACAAAACTTTTGTTTAGTCTTGCTTCTTTTTCAATTCTTGTTCTGGCTTCTTGAAAACAGAAATGTGTTTTAAAGAGTCAGTATGGAGTCTCCTGGCTGACTTTAAACTGGTAGCTATCTTGATATCACTTCCTGAGTGGTAGGGTTGGTTACAAGCATAGACCCTCATGCATGACTATCTCTTCCATATGTTAAGATATTAATGCATACAACTTTGTATGTCTTCATGCTTACATACCTGTGAAGGAAGGCCAGAGGCTGAAGTCAAGTATCTTGCTCTCTCACCTTTTACCTCACAGAGGACTCAGTTTCAATACCCAGCACTCAACGTGGCAGCTCACAGTCACCTGCAACTCCAACCCCAAGGGTTCAGACATTCTTCTGGCCTCTGTGGGTGTGGCATGCACATGGTACTCAGAAATACATGCAAGCAAAACACCCACCCCCATAAAGAAATTGGGGGGAGGGGTGCGTGTCTCAAAAAAGGAAGAGCCCTCTCCCCTTCTGGAATTGATTTACTAGCTTGTTTTAAAAACCGTTTTCATTTGGGATTTAAGATTTTTATGAGGACTGGAGAGGTGGCACAGTTAGTTGTTTGGAGCACTTGCTGATCTGGAGGAGGAGGATCCAGGTTTGTTCTAGCGGCAGCATGAAGTGCTCCACAGCACCTTTAACCTCAAGCTCCAAAGGATCCAGCGCTCTCTTCCGTCCTCTGTAGCACCTGAATGCAAATGGTGCACATAATTCATGCACACAGAATTTTAATGAAAATTTGTGAAATTTAGACTTAGTTAAGCTTCAGCAACTTAATTTTAAACATTTTCTTAGATTAATTTGCTTAAGGGGGCGGGTAGAGTGGAAGTGAGAAAAATGGTTAAGTTTTAAGTGTTGCTGTTTCTCCAGAGCGCCTGAGTTGGGCTCCCAGCACCCACACCAGGTAGCTCACAACTGTAACTCCCAAAAATCCAACCCCTTTTTCTGTCCTGCAGGCACCCACATACACTATTACAGACATGTGCACATAAAATCTTTTTTAAAGCTGGGCGTGATGGTGCGTGCCTTTAATTCTCGCACTCTGGAGGCAGAGGCAGGCCTGGTCCACACAGTGAATTTCAGGATAGCCAGAGCAACACAGAGATAACATAAGTGAAAGATTGAAATCAGTCTTCCTTGGGAGGGAGACAATGGCTAGCCAGCTGTGGTGGCCCAAGCCTATATAATCTATACTGAAGGTGTGAATTGCTGTAAGTCCAGCCCATAGTGAGGTCCAGATAGCCTGAAATACCAGAAAACCAAGTAGTCGGGGAGGGAGG